GACTACTACTGGTGTTGGCAAACGTACGTTATGGTTTTGTTGGTTGTGACTTGGCAGGAAGGGGCTGTTTGCATGAAGATTTACTGGGGCCACGAAAAGTATACTTGCTGGCCTGGTATGAACCCTCACACTTATAGTATAAATGTTTGAAAGCACAGACTGGATCACAATTAACACCCCTATGGAACTTAAAACAGTGCCCCTTTGGGGTACTCTGATCTTGTTGCCTACGACGCTGTTGTGAGGTCAGTGGATACTGCCGTTTGACAAGGTGTTGAGCACGCATCCATAACTCCCAATGAATATTGTTGCATGGGAATGAGGAAGGCTGTGCTTGTCTTAAAAAACGAAAATTTTCATCGTAAAACCTCCAATTAAAACCTCTGGCCGCCAGGTCTTGTACAACCTCCCCAAATTTCATGGGTGAGGGGGCCTCATGAGGTTACCTACTGGTACACATACTAACAAAGATGTGGAAACAGCTTAACCAAGTCTCAGTGGTCAAGTGTTTCCTACTTTTGTTGGCAGGTTTCAGAAAAAAGGAAGGCAATTGCTCTTTATCAAAAGTGGCGACTGTCAACTTGTAATTATTCTCCTGAACCGGATTAGATAAGAGTAAACCAAAATCGAAATATTCACTGTTCCATGTCTTTGCTCTCACTTTGTCTGAAACCCGCGCGTCAATGGGGAGACTTGGGGATGTGAACAATTAGGAGGGTAGAGCCGAATGTACAACTTGCAGCTCACCTGACAAAGCTGACTGGGCAGTTCTTAAGCCCCATACGGAGGGGTCATTTAGTTCATTCCCATGACCCCTCGGTAGATACCAAAACGCTGTCACGCAATCATAAGGAACCGTCCGCATATTCCAAGACAACTCCACAGGAGGAAGGACATAAAATTCCTATTTGCCGGCAAATATTTTATTTATCTATAGTAGCACAACACGCGATACAATCAAAATCACCAAAATGGCTTTGAAACGACCGGAAGCGACAAGGCGGCTACGGAGTAAAGGTAAGGAGACTTTAAAACTCATTATATTCCTCCCTTTTATTGTCCTATTCATTTTCTTCTAGTTTTAGAATTTCCTTTTTTTAATGGCACACGCTTACGCTTGAAAATATAGTCTTAATATATTAGGTACTGCCGTTGATGATATTTAGATTCCAAATTCATACGCAATACGCTTAGACCGACAGGGGTGTCAGCAGCTTGAAATGCAGGAGACCAATCAACCTTTCTTAAATAAGATAAAAGTCTCTTTTCAAATTTTTAATTCAATTTGTGAAAAACAGGTCGATGATCAGCAATCTGATAAGCAATACTTCCAGTAATGCCAGGAGACGCGAATTGGAAGAGATATAGTCAAAAAATCTCCCTACATTTTTCTTACATCAAGAAGCATTTTTTTTAGTTTGCTGATGGCTCAGACTCAGCACCGGTCTCTTTAGAAAGTTACTTCCTCTTTACGTTTAGATCAGCCGAGCCTTGCCTCTTCAAGTTCATCGAGCAATTCCTTTAACTGTCTACTTGGCTGACCAACAATCATTTCTGGTGTCAACCTACAGACTTCCTATTTCATCGTTTTTTAAATCATCTCAAGCAGAGATCAAAATCTTGCCTTCGCTGAGGGACACTCCGCCTCCATAGGAGGAATTGCGAACAAAAGTCACCAAATCATAACCTGATAACTCAAATGCATTATCTCAAATGTCGTATTATCTTAAAGTGTAAATCATGTTTCAGAAAAAGTCGCGCAAACAAGAGATAAAACCGATTATCTCACAAACATCGCTGAGGTGTCTATTGATATATTCAGGTGAAATGCTGATAGGTGTGTCTTCACAACAAAAGAAAGCGCATTATTTAGAGTAGAAACTCACATTTTATTCAAGCACATTTTATTCAAGTCGTCCAGAGTCTTTTCATTCAAGTATTTCTTATCTTTGAGCTTAGACAAGCTAGAGAAGTCCTTGTCTTCGCCTTTCTTGATCTAAGCTAAGGCCTAAAGGTCGAAAGCAAATCTCTTCCGAAAGCCACATTTCGAGAGTCACTCTTTTGCTTTCTCCTGCTTTTGTTATCCATGCACAATGAACATACAAATTACACGACTATATATAACTATATGAATTCAGTCTCTACTCCCATCCGTCGAAGAATCGAATAATGCAGCCATCCTTCCTTGACTGCTGACCCGATTGTTAGTTATGTCAAGGATTCGATGTCATGCAGGAAGACAGTATGAGGGAAACTACACCCTGGTACTTAAAAAACTATTTCGATATGTCTCTGTTCGGATAATTGGAGCATGATATATGTAAACATGCGAAGCTTTTGAGTTGAATCTTTAATGAGGCTATTTAAATTGAATTGAAACGTTGCAAGCGTTGAATATAATTTGGGACTCCTCTTACCTTGAGGATCACACCACACGATCAAATGTTACTGCGACCCTTGAGTTAGAACTATTTACTGTATTTGCATTTTTTTAATCAGTGGAGAGTACTTAAGCATTCTTTTCTCCAAATGTTCAGGCTGCCATGCAGGGAAACCATGATCAAATCTTTAGAGGTCAATTGCATCGATTAGCATAACTTGGTAACTACATTCTCAATCCACTTTTTAAAAATTAA